AACGTCTGCCGCTGAAGCAGAAGCCAGAAGTATGTGTACTATTTAGCTGACAGTATCTTTTCTTTTGTGTAGGTGGGACCACTCTGAGAAAGGGACCAGGACCCACCACTGGACAGATGAACTGATGTCACAACGCTGCTGTTAACAATGGCAGTCCCGCAGAGAAGAAGCGAGAAAAAGGAGACGAGATCTGGCGAATTATACCAGCTGAAAATGCAAAAGAAAGACATCTCAAACGCTGACAGATGAGTGTGTTGATCCTAGCTTTCTGAAGGGCATCCACATCAAGGATGAAACCATGGCAACACATCTTTTGTCCGAGCGGTGAGGGATGAGAGAAACAGAGATAGACTGTCCCGTATGAAAGAAAGAAAGAAAAAGAAAGAAAGAAACAGACCAGCTGAAATGAATTTGCACTAGTGCTGATTGAACAAGCACACTAAAGACTGTATGTATGCTGAGTGGACACACTATAAACACACACATACTGTACACTTTGATTGCTCTTACTTCAGCACCTTAAGCAAATTTGCGAAAGACGGACATTGCAGGGGAGTTTGGATATGGACTTATATGGTACTCAGCATTTCAGCTCCGACGTTTCCAAGAGACGAGGAGCTCGCAGGCTGCCCAGAGCAATACAAAATGTAGCCTGGGCCCTAAGTAGGTCAAAATTGAACGCTCATTTAGTTGGTAAGCTTTCAAAGTCACATTGCACCTTTGGGAAAATGACACGAGAGGAGACGTGAGCCAGTTAAAAGCTGTTGAGACAGTGTTAGGGGGTTTTCTTCACTTTATCAAGACAGTGTCTGCTATGTACCAGTGAATAGGCAGGGGAGGGGGTGGGCTTAGTGATAGGAATTTTGGCATCGCTGCAAGAGAATTTCTAATGAGGTTTTAAGAAAGAAGTTATTTTTTGGAGAAAAAACAAAGACAGCTCGAGTCGTGTCCGCTAAAAGAAATGGACGAAATATATTCACGATAGGAATGTTTATTGTTAACTATTTTCAGTATTGCTTCTGAGGGAGGAGAGGTGGACGTGTAAAAAGTGTTTTTGTTTACTTCAGACTGCCTTTGAGAATGTTTCACTCTTTGCTTCAGAGCATTGACAATCAGAATGTCCTCGGCAGGAGGGAGGAAGGAGAGCGGAAAGGGAATGAGAATCGATTTGCCCCAAATGCTCTGTAGAAGTGCCATGTAGTCTTGTGTACGTACCTAAGCGAACTCATGCAGTCTTTAAAAGCAATATCTCCTCTGATAAGGACTATATAAGAACTTCCTTTTTAAGATAAACTAAGAAAAAGAAAAAAAAAAAGTTGTGAATATTTGAGGATTGGAGGTCATTTTTCTGTACAGATGCAAAGTAGTTTGTTCTCATCTTAGGAACATCGGGCTAATCCACTTATTGGAAGTAACATAAGCGTTTAGTTACGTGTGAATGTACAGTACATCGAGAGACCTGTTTTCTTTCTGTCAGCAGTAGCGTGTAAAATTAGTATTATACACAATACAGTCTGGATTATACATGAAAGTTAATAAACCTTTCATTTTACTAAGATGTTTTTAAACTATACAGCTGACCAATATATCAGACATTTTTCCTTAAAGTTGACTATGATTGTATATGATTTGTTTTGTTTTTTTGTAGGACATAACTTGTCTGTTTGGTTTGTTTGGGTTTTCTTTTATTGGTTGTTTTTATTTGATTTTCTTTAGCCGAGCGTTACTTTTGTTTTTGGTCAGACAATCAGTGACAGTGACTTAGTTTTTCCAGTGTTACATTTCTGCTCTCTTTCAGTAGTGTGGCTTCTAATAACAAGCCAAGAAAGTGCAATTTCTTTGACTGTTTACATACTGTATGTATATTTTTCCCTCTTTCCTTTTTTAAACTAAGAGCACTACATTATTGCCAGTGGATGATTAACTTTATAGCAAAGGTACACGTAAAGAGTTATTTATCTAGTTTGCATGACATGTAACCTTTGCCTGTTGCCTCTGATAATGTGCTTAAAAAAACAAACAAAAAAAAACAGTGATAACTCAACGCCATAGAATGTCAGCTCAAACTTTTTGCCTCTGTATCCATAATAATAAAAGCATTTTATGTCTACTAGTACTAAACCCTGAATGCTCGTGGTGTCTCAGCTTAAAGACCTCCTTCTTGCTTTGTTTACTATAAGGGGACGGGGGTTAGCTCAAGCTGATTGACATCAGCTTGAGCTAACAGTGCTATCTAGTGGCGTTAGATTGTATATCTCACAATGTGTTGTCCTCCATAATGACCCACAAAGGAGGACGCTACCACAGAAACGGTTACAAGATGGGGGAGGGCTGCAGCTCGCCCTGGAGACGTTTTCTCCTCTTTCTGCCCTTCAGAACGTCCAAAAGACACCCAAAGATCTTGATCTGAGTAAATAAAGTGGGAAGATTATGATTTCTCAGGAGCTTAAAAAAGTTTTTGTGTTTTTTTTTATTATTGTTGTTGTTTTTACAGGATACTACATTATGAGCTTTCCTCATTTCCTCTGTAATCTTGCACATTTCAGACATCAACAAATAAATGAAATGCAATCGATATTAAGAAACATGCAAAGTCCATGGCTCAGAGTTCAAAATAATCCTTATTTATCTTACACTGGACCTTGTTTAGATGGACTGCTGTCCTCACAGTCAGAGCTGTGTCCCTGAGATGTCTTAATTAAGGGCATCCCCTCTCCATGACAACATGAAGATCCAAGAAAGATCCAGAAAAACCTGACTGAACTGAGATTATGGCTCATTCACTACCTCCACATAAAACAATCTCATTATTTTAAACTTTAGCATGCTTACTTTGAGCATCCACCATTGTAACACATAAACAGGTTCTCTTCAGTATAGAGCTGAGGTTCTGGCTTAATAGGGGATTTTACATGAACTATAGTGCAAAAAAAAATGACTCCAACAGGTGATCATGTTTGGTTTATCCATATTTTATTTGGTGTATTTACAAACAAGCACATGCAGGAGCTGAACAGTGACTGACACTAGAGGGGCACTCTATACGCAACAGTAGGACAACGGGATGTCTACGGGCTACATGACACCAGAGAGGAGGAGAGGGAGGAACAGAACTAACTGTCACTCACACAGACAAGTGAAAGTGCAGGATGCGCTGACAGAGAAGTGCTCGAACTCATCTCTGCTTTCACTTCACATACACGCACATACACACGGCCATGCGTGCATTTTCGCACACGAAAAACCCGGATAATTAGCGAGCTATTCCTTTCAGAAACCTCAAGATCAATAAATAATACATCCCATAAATAAATAGCTTTTAAACAAATGCATTTGTAATCTCACATCGGAAAGAAACAAACTAAACGTGTCTACTGATATTTTATCTGTATCTAGACTTTGTTTCTTTTATTTCTTTTAATCACTTGTGTTGGCATTTTTTTTTTCCTGATAATGAGTTATGACACTGGTTTAAGTTAATGCTACTGGACTGTTGCCAGCAATCGCATGCTACACTGAAACTCTGCAGAACTGATCTTTTCCCTGATTGATCAATAGCAATGGAACTTTCCTGCTGATTGAATAGAGGTCCTTTAGCGTTAGCCTTTCCTGGCCGCTTAAAAATCGCCCTCCTTCTTTTTTAAATTTAAGCACTTATCGTTTTATGCTTCCGGTTTCCTCTTGCATGATAACATCAAATTAAAATCGACTTTATAACAAACTAAACACACTTCTAGTTGCGCATTTAAATATATGCATAGTCATAGATACAGATAACTAATAATTATGTGACACAAAACAACAGGTTTTTTTTTCTTTTCATTTAAGCAACAACAAAACAAACGAATCACTTCCACTGCTACCACTACCATTAATATCAATGATTATGATCGGCAAACATGGGGTTAAGATAAATACAAAAGCTGAGGTACGAGGTGAAGACCAGCCACCAAACCCACAGACTTGTAGCATTTATGAATCGACATCACATCTGGGGTTTTTCTCACTGCGTTCATTTGAAATTCAGACAGTGCCGAGAAAGCGGGGCAGACTTTTGTGAGGGTTTTTGCTAAAACCCACGGAGGCTCTGTGAGATTCTGGCTACAGGTCGCTGTCGTCTATAACTTTGTGGGATATCTAAGATGTTTTCATTCAGAGCATTCGTGGTACATTACAGTGCATACAGAGTTTAAAAGGTATGAGCTCAATTTAATCATGTTATGAATATGATGACAATGGCAATACATAAAGCACACAATAGGGAAGATACTGGATTGCATACTTAAAATAAACACATATTCATTTGTTTTTGCATGTATGACATCCGCTTCGTGCTGTTGCAAATGTAAAGATGAATAATCACTCCATCAATACGGCTGCAGCCTTAAGCTGCTACTTTCTCATATTTATCTACCTTTCTATCTATCTTGGTAATATCAATCTCGTTTTATATAGCTATATATTTATATATATATACTTTTATATGTATATTTATACAGTCAAATACAGTAGCAGAAACATGTCAAACACACATAAACTAGGTGAGAAAGATGAGAGGTCAATAAGGGTAAAAGGTCAATAGAACGGGTCTACACAGCTACAGTTCACTACATTACTACGCAGTATGCAACAGGAGCTACGGCCCACTACTCCGACATGCTTTCCCCACTCGACGACCTGCAGCCAGGCTGTCGACCGCCGCCTCCTCGCGACAGATAGCCGCTGATTTGAACGCACTCGAGTGTGACAGACTGCAAAGAATTTTGGCGATCGCTTTCAGATCAGCGGCCGGCAAGCAAGGCGGAAATGGAGAAAAAAGGCATTTGAAGGGATAATTCACTCGAGGATCAAAGGTCTTCTGGTTTGAAATGATCCAAGTTTGAGTCGAGTCATTATTTCGCACCATCTGCTCAATTCCTGCTGCTAAAATCTATTAGTTGAACGCTACCAAACTGAAATGATTGTGATGGGAAAAGCTCCAATATGTTCATAACGGGGGGGGGCGGGGCCTGCAGATTGCCTCTGATGCACATAAAGCACAACAGATGGTGTTATGCCCTTAACTCAAACTGTAACAGAGCCTGTGTGAAATATCCCTTTCAGAGTAGTGCAGCCTTACCATAACCTCTCAATACTCACCTAAAATATATATATATATATTTTATAATTATTTATTGATTTTTTTACTGTTGATTAAGTGCAGCAGTTATGGTCACATGATGAGAGAGGTGTAGCCAATAGGTACCAGCCCCTCTTTGTCTCCCTGACGACAGCGAATCCAGTCTTGATCGACGCCTCCTAACACCACGAGCTCCTCCCCTTTGTGGAAGCTGAGCTCGGAACCGGATCCAGCATGGTCACACAGCGTTCGCACCGACCTGGGACAGAAGACACTGTCTCAGCCGCAGTGATCGACGTTTACACCAGCCACAAAGAGTAACGTCAGCGTATGATGTCAGACGGGATGAGGCACCGTTTACAAGACTTCAGACTGATAACAGCAGCTATTCTGGTGTCTCTGGTATAACCCCTGCCGCCCTTATCAGTGGGGAAAAATATTGATTTGCAAAAGAAAAGACATAAAAATAACTGTGTTTTTTTTGTCACAGGCGTGTAAACAATGGGGCTTCTCAGATGAGAAGAAAGCATGCAGATTTGAGGCACTAGCTTGGTATCACTACTCATACCTTGAAGCTGGATCCATCTTTCATATGCAGACTAGGATCCCACTTGTGTAAAGGTCTGACCCAAAATTACACTGCTGTCATCTGATTTTTGCCAGTTTTGGGCTTTGAGATGTTACCATTCACTTAA